ACATCCATTTAGCCGCCGTCTCCGTCGACCGCCGGCCGTCCATCAGTTGGAACACTCCAAAACATTAGCCCACGAAGAAGCATTGTGCGCTACAGTCCACCACTTGGAGAAGTCCTGCCCCATCAATCGCCTAAGTAAGGTTTGGCCCCCCGCCATTTGGTCCTTCTGCGCCAGCAGACCCCGAACCAGCAGCAAGTATTAGAAAAAGTCCCTTTGTAAACCGTAAGTAAGCCTATTATTTCTTAGTGCTACATACTTATTCCCACGGTAACTACACTATACAAACATACATATATCGCATTAAAGTACTTCAAAAAAAAGTAACCTAAAATTCGTAAAAATCTTGTGCGCCTTTTTCCAAAAAAAACGGCATCCTCAGTCCGTTAAAGAATTTTTTAGAACTTCGTGCATATATATGTATATTTCCAAGTTTTCGAGTAAATAAGTACCGAAAGCCAATATCCCGTATATCGAAAATACATACATATATGCATGTACATATGTACTGATTTCTCTTCCCGCATATTTGTACATATTTTCCCGCTCAAGCGTTTTCATACATACAGTCCACACATATATATATATATCTACTTACAAGTACATAGGCAATTTTCTATTCCCTCTCCTCCCACATTCGCTTTTACTAAATCAAATATAACTTCTGATTGATATTTATGTGTACAAACTTAAATTCCTCACAACGTTTGCTCGTAATAATACATAAATTCTAAACATTTTCTCAGCAGTTGTTTAAAATAAAAGTTTCGATTTCACGACAACAAAGGTGCACAAGTGAGATAATATTACAAAGCGACATATAAACACACATATATAAACACATAGGCATACTTATATACACACAATCCCATACATATCTACATATAAAAAGTCCGATACAGTGGTCGGTTTGCAGTGCAATAAAGTTAATAAATGAAAGCTGACGGCGCTTATATACAAATACCATTTATACAGTCCCGTGAATTAAATTTGCATTTCACCAAAAGTAATTAAAGCGCATTCTCGTTCTTCTACTGTGTAGTCTCTTATATATACATAAAATTGTGGTTACAGTCGCGTGAAAAACAAAAAAAAATAAAAAACTTGCATCTACATAAACTAAAATTTTCTCGTACTCTTTCATTCGTTGAGCAAGTTACTCGAAATAACTCTATTCTCAAAAACGGGTAAATAAATAAATTAGTCAATAAATTAAATCTCTATTTTTCTCTAATTCGCGACCGAGCACTGACATAATCGCAAAACTGACACATTTAATTATTTACTCACTCATATTATATCACTGTATATTTACTTCTCTGGCATTCCTTTAAAAAGGAATTGCATTAAATTCTCTGGCATTCCTTTAAAAATGAATTGCATTAAATTCTCTGGCATTCCCTTAAAAAGGAATTGCATTAAATTCTCTGGCATTCCTGTAAGAGGAATCGCATTTACTTAAAAAAAAAAAAAAAAATTTCATTCTTGTAGTATTCTCGAGTTCTTTGCATCTCCCTCAGGCATCCCTCTCTCTCAGTCTCTCAACCCCAGTCCTTTCAGACTAAATTATAAATTTTCTCGGGGCTTAACGAAGAATCCCAAATTCCCAAAATGAGTGATGAAGAGAAAATCGTTGCGATCGAAACTCAACGCTCTGCCCGCTCAAGCGGGAAAACTTCAAAAAAACAAAGGCAATTGGCCTCCGTTAAGTTTATTGCAGAGACTGATAATTTAGTCGATTACTGTTCAAGATTCAAATCCCTACCTCTCGAAAATAACTCAGAATCAAGCCTGAAAATAAAAGATACGAGTTTAGACAATTTTTGGAAACGAGTTCAAAACTCTTATGATGTAGTTGTAGAGGCAGACGAGCAAGACCTTCCCGAAGATTTCAAAGCAAGTGCTTTTCGCAAATATCGGTCTTGTCTCGATCAATATGAAGACACTAAAGCTCAAATCGCTGACCAGCTCCATCTTCATAAGCAAGTGAGCACTCCCATGCCTACTCCCTCTTCATCACAACCCAAACGCCAGTCTGGCCTCGGCTTAACCGTCCCTCCTTGTGACACCGAAGTATTTTACGGAAGTTATGAACAATGGCCCTCTTTCCGGGATATGTTCACAGCGGTATACATAAATCACCCTGAACTCACCCAAGGCCAAAAGTTGTACCATCTCAGGTACAAAACTCAAGGTAAAGCCAATCAAATAGTAAAGCAATTCTCTCTCTGTGATGAAAGCTTTAATATCGCATGGGAAGCACTTCGGTCTCGATATGAGAATAAGCGTATTTTGGTAGACAACCAAATACGAATCTTAATGAACCTCAAACCCATTCCCACCGAAAGCAGCGAAGACATACAAAGGCTGCAGTCTTCTGTAAACAACTGCCATCAAATTCTCGCAACTCAGCAAGTCTCAACCGAGAATTGGGACCCCATCCTCATCTATATAGTCACCTCTAAGCTTCCCGAAACCACAGTATCCCTGTGGGAACAATCCCTCAGCTCGAGGAAAGACCTCCCCAACTGGTCCCAAATGGAGCAGTTTCTCACTACTCGTTATGAAGTGGCCGAAAGAGTTGATCAATGGCGCCTGCCGAAGGCGAGACCTCCTGTTCAGCCCACTAGCTCTTCAAAGCCGCCTTTCTCTTATAACAAACCACCTTTTAAACCCCCTCACTCTCAAAACTTTCAAAACAGATCGATGTCACAAATACAATCTCACGTGACAGAGCAGCGAATAATGCACAAATGTTCGATGTGTAAGACCTCCTCTCATTCGCTGTGGAACTGCTTCAAATTCCGAAAGTTGTCAATCTCTGATCGCAAGAAGTTCGTAAGAGAAAATAATATGTGCTTCAACTGTCTATCCCAGTCACACTTGTTGAAAGATTGCCCTAGCCCACAAACTTGTAGCCATTGTAGTGAACGGCACAATTCAGTGCTCCATGAAGCCACAAACTCCATGCCGAAAAGGCAACCCCCAAGAGTACAAAAAACCACTTCGCAAGTGGCAACCACAATTTCTACAAACTCAAGTGTGCACACTTCACCCCAAACAGACACTAATGAACAGGAAGCAGTTGGAACTCAGGTGCAATCATTCTATTCAGAGAATGAGAGCAAAATACTCCTCCCGACAGCTATGGTACCGGTATCACACCGAGGAGAAATATTTAAACTCAGAGCTCTTATAGATCAGGGGTCAGAACGAAGCTTTGTCTCCACCAAAGCTCAAAATAAGCTAGGGCTGCCCTGCAAATCCTCAAAATTTGAAATCTCGGGCATGGGTGGAAGAGTTGTTCAAACTTCGAACAAATTATGCTCTTTAGTCTTGGTCTCCGCCGATCTCCAAACTCAAATAAATGCTCAAGCTATCGTGTTACCACAGCTGACAAAAATGCTCCCCAAGTTCCCACTTAATCATGACCACAAAGAAAAATGGTCTCATCTGAAACTGGCAGATCCAAACTGCCACTCCCCAGCCCAGATTGACCTCGTGTTAGGCAGTGATATTATCCCTCAAATAATCGAGGAGGGCATTGAAAAAATCTCACCAACTCTGCTAGCTCAAAAGACAATATTTGGTTGGATACTTAGTGGTCAGATTTACGAAAACATAGCTTCATACTCTACACAAATAGAGGAAATTTCTAATGAGCACCTTAACTCACAATTGCGTAGGTTTTGGGAACTAGAAGAAGTTCCAAACCTCAAGCATACCACCCCTGAAGACGACTTTTGCGAAGATTTCTATAAATCCACCACTTCTCGCAACTCTGATGGTCGTTATGTGGTCAGGCTTCCGTTCAAGCCAAGTTTCCCCAAAGAAATCTCTTTAGGTTACTCTCGCTCCTCAGCGCTTCAGCAATTTCTCGGAATGGAGAGAAACCTCCGCAAAAAGGGCGATTTAAAGGCCTCATATGATAATGTCCTGAAGAATATCTCACCCTAAACCACATGGAAAAAACTATGTCCCAAGAAAAACTCCTCTCAGGCAAGTACATGTCGTTCTATCTCCCTCACCATGCGGTCATTAAGCCCGAAAAACGAACGACAAAGGTACGAGTTGTCTTTAATGCATCAAAGATTTCGGAATCCGGTTACTCTCTTAACGATGTATTATATACCGGACCAACTCTCCAGCCTGATTTGATGCTTCTCATCCTCAAGTGGCGAATGTATAAATTTGTATTTAATGGTGATGTCGAAAAGATGTACCGACAAATACTGCTACATCCCGAAGACCAGGACTTTCAAAGAATAATCTTTCGTTCACCCACAACCAGTCCCATTCAAGATTATAAATTAAAAACGGTCACATTCGGTGTAAACTGTGCGCCCTACCTCGCCATTCGCACACTTCACCAAGTAGCACAAGATGAAAAAACCAACTACCCAATGGCCGCCCACATTCTGAATAAAGAGACGTATGTGGATGGCATACTCTCTGGCAGCCACGATCTGACAATCGCCACTCAATCTCTCACCCAAGTCATTCAGGCTCTAAACTCGGCAGGCTTTCCCTTAAAGAAAATAACAGCGAACCACCCAGAAATTCTCAAAAATATAATGAAAGAGGACTTGCTCGATACTAATTTTCTCGAGTTCGAAAAGGCAAGTACCACAAAGACTCTAGGGATCCAATGGAACGCGCTCACAGACACGTTTTCCTATACGATCGACTCCATCCCAGCCTTATCTGCTAGCACTAAACGACAGATTCTCTCCTCTGTCGCGAAACTTTTTGACCCCGCAGGGTGGCTTACGCCGATAATGATCCAGGCAAAGATTCTCTTACAAGAGCTCTGGATCGACGGAACTGACTGGGACGAAAAAGTCAAGCCCCTCCGTCTTGTTAAATGGTCTCAGTTCGCACAAAATCTACACACAATCTCGACCATTCAAATTCCACGATGGGTAAATTTTATTCCTGACCAGCATGTTGAACTCCATGGATTCTGTGACGCCTCAGAAAAGGCATATTGTGCTAACGTATATGTTCGAACTACTCATGGTTCCAGTATCTCTTCTCATCTTCTGGTTTCCAAAGGCAAGGTAGCACCCCTTCGAACAACTAGCTTACCCCGGCTTGAGCTCTGCGGAGCTCTTCTCTTAGCCAAACTTGTCGCAGCTATTCAGTCCCATCTCGACCTCTCTAAAAGAAAACTGGTACTATGGTCTGACTCTGAAATTGTATTGGCATGGCTGGAAAAACCACCCGACTCTTGGAAAACGTTCGTCTCTAATCGCACCGCGGAGATCTTGGAACTCGTCGGAAACGCCACCTGGCGACATGTATGCAGCAGCGACAACCCCGCAGATATGGGCACAAGGGGTTGCAAGCCACTAGACTTAGCAGCGTCGTCGTTATGGTGCAATGGTCCTGAGTGGCTATCCAAGCCCCCCGAAGGATGGCCAAAACCCCCAGTCCGCAATGTCAACCCCCCGGAAGTACGAAGAGTGGAGGCACTCCTCACTACCGAAGAAGACCCCGACATTCTGGACAGGTTTTCCTCTTTCTCTCGAGCCTTGAGAGTGATGGCTTACGTCTTCAAGTTCATCAGACGACTAAAGGACAAAGGGACAGGAGCTTCTGACCGCGCATCATCCCAGCTATCACATGATGAGCTCCGCCAAGCGAAAATTCGTCTGATCATCCTTACGCAAACCCGTCACTTCCCCCATGAAAAAGCCCGCTTAGAAGACTCAAAACCCATTGACAAAAAGAGTTCACTATTAGTTCTTAACCCCTTCTTGGATAAAAATGGAGTTATCCGCGTCAATGGACGCCTTGCTCATGCTACCCTGAGCTATAACGAACGTCACCCCGTTATAATTCCGGAAAAGTCCCGATTCGCATTCCTCTATCTAAAATTTCTCCATGATCTCCTGCTCCATGCAGAAGTACGACTTATGCAGCAGATGACCAGGCAAGAATTGTATATTCCCCGGCTAAAACCCCTCATCAAAAAATGCATTTATCAATGTAAATCCTGCACCATTCACAAACGGCAAATGCGCTCGCAGATTATGGCTGCCCTGCCGCCCGAACGATGCACCTTCGCTCCGCCCTTCACCACCACCGGTGTTGATTTTGCTGGGCCTTTTCAAATAAAAGCCTCCATGCTAAGATCTCCCACTTTAGTGAAAGGCTATGTGGCCGTCTTTGTGTGCTTCACAACAAAGGCGGTACACCTCGAGCTGTGCTCAGACCTGACCAAAGAGGCATTTCTCGCCGCCTTTGCTCGTTTTGTTGGTCGCCGTGGTTACCCCGCTAAAATGATGAGTGACAATGGCAAAACTTTTATAGGAGCCAAAATAGCCACTGAAAAGGAGTTCTCTGTCTTCCTCCAAACTGCATCCCGTGATATTGTCCAAAAATACTCACCCCAGGGTATTAATTGGCAATTTATACCTCCCAGCGCCCCGCACATGGGTGGCTTATGGGAGTCTGCCGTTAAAAGTTTTAAACTTCACTTCAAAAGGACTGCCGGGCCCCATAAATTTACGTTTGAGGAGTTTACTACCCTTTTAATAAGAGTAGAAGCTGTATTAAATTCTCGTCCGATAACCCCACTCACCCAAGACCCGACGGACTTTACAGCGCTCTCACCTGGCCACTTTCTCCGGGGTGCTCCCCTCCTATCATTCCCCGAGTCTAATCGCGAAAACCTCTCGCTCATTAATAGATGGGAAAAACTCAAGGTTTTACACCACCAATTCGCAAATCGATGGAAGGAAGACTACCTTAAAGACCTACATAAGCGACACAGGTGGAAGAACGCTCAAGTAGAACCCAGAATCGGAGAATGCGTAGTCATTAATGATGACACACTCCCGCCCACGGAGTGGCGCCTGGGCCGCATCGAAAGGTTGCACCCTGGCAAGGATGGACACATTCGTGTGGTCGACGTCCGCACCCAAACAGGCCTACTCACTCGGCCATTAGTAAAACTAGTATTTTTGCCTTCGAGCGAAGATACCCCCTCTCGCATTGAAACCGATTAGCACTCCATAAACTCCTCACTTGAATAAGCAGCCAAATGGCTGCACATCGATTTTCACACACCACACATACATATACACTTTCGTATCTCTCTTCTATGCCTCCCATATATTAATATACGTAACACTAAAAATTTCCGTATACAAACTTTTTCCAGATGGATCACGATGAGGCACCTCAGCCAGCACCGCGAACGTTCCTAAAGTCGCAGATTGGAACCACCCACAGCATACGTTCGGCGAATCATCCCACGGAGGATTATAAGCGGTGCCGATTGTGCGCCGGTCATCATGCGCTCCGAGTATGTCCAGCGTTCTTAGGCGTACAGCCACAGCAGCGCTTCTTACTGGCAAGGGCGCACAAGTACTGCACGAACTGCCTGGCGCTTTCGCATCCGACCGCCCAGTGCACGTCCACTACCACCTGCCGCACTTGCTCTCTACAGCATCATACACTACTGCACCGGAATGGTATACCGGCAGCCCGCCGCACGAGGGCGAACTCCGCAGTGCAGCCCCCCAAACGCCTCGACCAGACAAACAAAAACGCTCCCCAACGTGGGGGATCAGGGCGTACATCACCGCCCTACAACCACACCCGACACCATCCCACCAGAGGGAACCGTAAAGTGCGCTTCACGAGGAAGGGATTCCAAACTGCTGGCTATCGTAGCAAGGCTACCAAAATTTTGGTTCACGAGGCAATGAGGGCTCTACGGGAGCTGAAGGATGCACTAGCCGCCTAACGCGGCCAGGGCCGGGAGGATGGCTACGCGAGCACTGCAACACTTATATTTAATTAACACAATTTGTAGCTAGCTTACTAGTGTGCATTTCATTTTGAATTTTGTATCTCTTGAATTTTGTATATTTTGAATTTGTACTTTGAACTAGCTCTGGTGTGCACCCTTTGTAAGCTTATCTTAGGAGTGGTTGGCAACGCATGCCCAACTCGCTCGCTACCAAATCGCTGTATACTCATTTGTATGTATATATATGCTTTGCATCTTTTGACAGCTGTATTATTACAATTTTATTTCTTCGCTTATATAGACGTAACTGCAGTGCTCGTGCGCGAAATATTTCATTAAACCTATTGTCTCATTGTTTTTTGTATATTCGGATATTGAAGTCAATTAAAGTTCGCATTATACGCGAAAATTTGCATCTTTCTTTGTAATCGAAAGCCAAGTGAATAAATCGTTCAAAAGCAAAACATTTGGTGTTTCATTTCGTGGCCGCGAGTTGAAGGCGTTTTTGAACGTAGCGCGTAGTTTGACGCACCACACTTGCAAGCAACTTGCTATACAACGGCACGACTCCTAACCTGCTGAAACCATCCCCGTCATCGTTGGAGTTTTTGGCGTATTCAAAGTTGAACATCCATTTAGCCGCCGTCTCCGTCGACCGCCGGCCGTCCATCAGT